CCCTTTCCATTCTGGCCAGTGCTCTTGCCGCCATATTGAATCTGTATTTTAAAGGCAGCAGTTCTCACAGTTTGATCATCAACATCACCTGGGAACATCGACATACAAATACCTGGGCTCCCTCAGACGCTGTAAGGGTGGGCCAAAGCCCTCCAGGTGCTTGCTAATGCCCAGTCAAGTTTGAGAACCTCCCTGTTCAGGGGCACCAGTGATATCACAAAATCCCATGGCCTGTTCTCTTTCAGCAGTAACGCCGATTGCAAACACCTCTGTGTGTGGGGCCTTGCGCTGAGTCCTTGCCACTCACTAACTCACTGCACCCTCCTGACGAAGCAAGGTGGGTCCCACAGGGGCAGAGCGGCAGAGCCATGATTTAAACGCGGGCAGCTGGCTTCGAGGTCATACTCTTCACATCTACACTGGCAGGGTCTCACACCTCCACCTTCCACGTTCCAGATGCACAGCATCCATTTCTCGTGCTCGGGAAGGTCACGTGTCAGAGAACAGCCAAACCCTCTTGATCCTGAATCTCTTGTCTTCTCCCGGTTGTCGTCAGCCCATCCTAAACTGCTCTTCGTGACCACCCTCTTTCCTTTCCTCCTGCTCTTCACTGGAGCATCACCACAAGGTTCTGCACTCAGCCCTCCCCTGGTTAGTTTCGGCTGCGGCGAGAGATGGGGGAGGTGGTGACAGAGTCCTTTGTCGTTTCCCTGTCAGAAGCTAATCAGTTGTCCGAACACCATTTGTTGACTAATTTAGCCTTTTCCACTGCTTATAATCGTTGGCTTCTTCAGATTCATTCACACTCTTAGGGTCCGTACTCCTGATGTGTTTCTCCTCGTGCCCTCCTGGATCCCCTGCCTGCCTGTCAGGTGTCACCACCTGTAGTCTACACTCCACCCAAACCGAACCAGTCTTCTTCAAGCCCTTGAGCTCACCATAGGCTGTTCCCTCTCCTTGGAACGACCTCCCCGACCTGGCCTTTGCACAGCTTGCTCTTCCCTATCCTTCCGGCCTTTGCACAACTCACTCTTCCGTATCCTTCTGGCCCCCTCAGGGAGTGTCCCTAATCCCCCTGGCAGGCGGTCCTCTGTCCTGTGCTCCTGTCACCATATGCCTCCTACTTCCTGCTTTAATTGTCAGCCTTCCTCCGGACCCATAGTCTCCCTGAGAGGAAACCAACCGTCCTGCTCCCCTCTGACGGCATGAATGGACTGGGCACAGGCTTTGCCACCTCCTTATCCACCTCCTCATTCCTTTAATAGCTGTAGTTTTAAAAATATTTAGGGACACCTTGGTGGCTCAGTCGGGTGAACGTCTGACTCTTGATTTCAGCTCAGGTCATAACCTCACAGTTTCATGAGTTCGAGCCCCACATCGGACTTTGTGCTTGCTCTCTCTCTTTCTCTCTCTCTCTCTCTCTCTCTCTCTCTCTCTCAAAATAAAGGGAGGGGCAGAGAGAGAGAATCCCAAGCTCCACACTCTCAGTACAGAGCCTGACACAGGGCTTGAGCTCATGAACCATGAGATCATGACCTGAGCCAAAGTTGGATGCTTAACCAGCTGAGCCACCCAAACACCCCTCAGTTATTAGATTTCTTCTCTTCCATCACTTCTGCATTCCAAAAGCTTTTCCCTCCTGAATGAATTTCAGGCAGACTAGTGGGAAAGGCTGGGTGAACAAAGGAGCTTTTTTACTGGTCAGATCTTCCTGCCCAAAAGGCCGGCAAATGCCCAACACCTGGTGTCTTCTCTGTCTCCCCTGTTCCCCTGCCCTGAGCTGGACCACGTGTGCCAACCCCATTTCTCAACTACCCGAGGACTCCCAGCTGACTTCGCTGTCTTCCTCCTGACTTAACTAGCAGCTGGATAACCCCACTTTCTAAAAGGCTGCTGATGGTGATGTCATGCCAGGTAGAGTCTCCTGGTTCCCAGGACTGAATAGTAACTTGCCTGCTGCTCTACAGGAGGTGTCTTAACCTTTCTGTGCCAAGGACCCCTTTTGCTGTTAGTGAAGCTTAGAGGCTACTTCTTGAAAGTCATTTTTTTTTTATTTTTTTTTTAATGTTTATTTATTTTTGAGACGGAGGGAGACAGAGCGTGAGTGGGGAAGGGGCAGAGAGAGAGGGAGACACAGAATCTGAAACAGGCTCCAGACTCTGAGCTGTCAGCACAGAGCCCGACGTGGAGCTCAAACCCACAAACTGTGAGACCATGACCTGAGCCAAAGTTGGATGCTTAACTGACTGAGCTACCCAGGTGCCCCTTGAAAGTCGTTTTTAAATGCTTTAATATAGAGAATTACAAGGAAAACCAAATACATGAAAATACCATTATTAAGGTATTAAAATACGAAGTCGTGGTGTAGTACTCATGTGCTTCTTTATTAACACAGTAAATAATCTCACAGTAGGTCTAAAAACAACTAGTTTCAAAGTAGTGATGGCATAAATGATATTTTTGAGGCATGTGCAACGCTATAACGGGGTGAGAAAATATTTGGGATTTGTCCAGACAACAGAGTAATAGTTCCTAACATTCTACCGTTTCCTTGCCTACCTTCACGACTGAAGGAAATGCCAAAGTTCAGTTAGTTTGTAGACATGCTGATTCTGATCAGGGCCTTCAGGTTATGAACTCTTGCCCTTGAACCAATGGGGTAGAGAAGCTGGTACGAGAGGGAGCTGGGAGCCTAACTTGGGGGGTAATGGATGGAGACTGTGCTACAGGGGATCTGATCCAGAGCCTTTGAGGGTATGGTCTCTGTATGCCAGGGAGAGAGACACGGAGAGAGAGGCAGAGTCATTAATCGTATGTCTTACCAGGTAAAACTATTCAAAATACATTGTTCTTAGGAAACTTATAAAGAGTGGCACCTAGGTGGCTCATTTGGTTAAGCATCCAACTTCAACTCAGGTCATGATCTCACGATTCATGGGTTCAAGCCCCACGACGGTCTCTGTGCTGACAGCTCAGAGCCTAGAGCCTGCTTCAGATTCTGTGTCTCCCTCTCTCTCTGCTCTTCCCCCGCTTGTGCTCTGTCTCTCTCTCTCTCAAAAATAATAAACACTTAAAAAATTAAAAAGAAAACTTATAAAAAACAGACAAACTAAAAAATATGTTTCAATTGTAAAGGGGTGGCACATTTACTTTCCTTTTTTTACCTATATATCATGTAGTACAATAATGGTAATCTGTACTAAATATATTAACATAGTTAAGTACGTAGCAATTCTGTGTGTTGTAAGCTTCATTTGTTTCCCATGCTAAACTTTTTTCTGCAATGTTCAGTAGCCAGTTATGACCAGTTTACGGCCAGCGTACCCCTGGCCAGCAGTACCATCCCAGGTTAGCCAAACCACTTAGGACACTTGGCTGGACTCATCTCCTAGTTCAGCTTGAACAGTATTAATCTGAGCTATCCTCAGTGAAGCGTGCTTTATCCTTGCTATTGAAGGATGATATCTATTAAGGTAGTTTCTTGGGAAAATAGTAAAGGTCTGCATCTGGGCCTTACCTCTTCAGGTATCTGAATATCATCTTTACTAGAACAATGTGAGATAGAACATCTTAGCCCATTGATTTTTAACCTTTTTTTGGATCATAGACTCTTGTGAAAATTTTGGTAAATGATACCGCACCCCTCTCCAGGAAAGCGTACATGTGTGCCCAACCACACATCCAATTTAGGAAGGACACAGACCTCTTTTAAGCTTCTCCAAAAGCCCTTGCTTACATTATCCTCATTGTAGGCTAGAGAGGTTACCTGAATATGTTGAGTGCAACCGATATTCTCTCTCTGGTAAAGGTGAACCCTCCACGTAGTGCCTTCAATCTTGATTTTACAGGCTTCGCTTTTATAATGTGACACAAGCCAGCAGAGGCCCACTGGGCGCCTGTCGGGGCCAAGTGCTGTGGCTCCTCACTCGGGCAGGTCAGACAGCCCCGCACACTCCACACCCCAACCTGGGGAGGGCTCTTTGTTTCATATACGGAGGGAATGTGGGAAAGCAGCCAGATGAAGAGTGGGCGGAGTCGGAGTAACTGCCTTCTTACCACCTGCTTTCTCTGGGGATCCAAGAGGGAGGAAGTAAGGAGACGTGGGCAAGCCAAATGCATCTGCATCGGCTGCCTCCTGTCCAGGGTCTGACTTCCAAGGGGAAGCTGAATTGGGGGGCAGTTAAGAGTCTAGGAGGAGGCCATTAAGTTCTAACCCAACTGGCAATTACATTTAAAAGTTTAGAAAGATCTGTATTTTATCCATGAAATGGAAAACAAGTAGAATTTTCTATATTCTTGCCACGTAACTTTAAAGTAATCATTAGCATCTGAGCTAAATGCGTAAGAACATTTGGATTAATATATTTGAGCCCATTACTCCAGAGAGATCTTACCATTAAACTTTATAGTGCACGCTAGGTCTGTGCTCGATGTCAAAAAGTCTTGTTTATAAATCAGGTATGCCATTTATAAGCTTGCCTTATTTCATAAACTCTTACAGGTCAGTGAACAGTTTTTCAGGACAAGCCCAAGAAATTGTTGAAAAACTGTGATACCCTGATTGTAGGGTTTAAAATTTGTTTTCCTTCTGGGGTGCCTGGGTGGCCAGGTCAGTTAAGCGTCCAACTTTGGCTCAAGCCATGGTCTCATGGCCCGTGAGTTCAAGCCCCGCATCGGGCTCTCTGCTGTCAGCACAGAGCCGACTTTGGATCCTCTGTCTCCCTCTCTCTCAGCCCCTCCCCTGTTCACGCTCTCTCTCTCTCTCTCTCTCAAAAATAAATATTTTTTTTAATAAAATAAAATGTGTTTTCTTTTCAAAAGACTTTGCAAGGCATAAATGCATAATTCCAAACAACCACAAAACCTTTTCCCAAAGATCCCCAGAACACTGTACTGAAAACTACAGACTCTGCCAGATCTCAGCCTGTGTGCAAGGGTACACAGACATCCTTCACCCCTAAGGAGCACCAGTTGTTGGTGCTATGGATTTATTTTTTTTAATGTGACTTTTTTTTTTTTTTTTTTTTTTTTTTTTTTTTTTTTTTAAGTAATCTCTATGCCCAGTGTGAGGCTTGAACTCACAACCCCAAGATCAAGAGTCACATGCTCTACCCACTGAGCCAGCCAGGCCCCCTAGTGCCACAGATTTTAATTAGGAAACTTAAATCTTTTTATTAAGGTGACGGTCAGCTTCAGAGACGCTGAGGAGAATGCAGTATGGATTCGAATCGCCTGGGGAACACAGTACAGAAAGCCAAACCAGTACAAACCGGTTTATGTGGTGTATTATTCCCAGACTCCCTACGCCTTCACTTCCTTCTGCCACCTGAAGAGCAATACACCCCTTCTGAGTCAGGTATGGAACCAATTACTATAAGCTATAGTATTTTTATTACCCTTATCTCCGAGGTCTATGTAGGTTTAAACTGCTCATAAGCGTTTTATATAAAATGCCACATGTAATCCTTGATTTCCTAAAATAAGGAGCAGAAAGTGTTCTACAAGTGGGAGCGTAACACAAGTATTGGTTTGGAGCTCTCTTACTGTCTTTCAGTCTAGAAGAAATATGTGCTTCAGCGAAGGAAACAAATCAACAGAACTAAAAGGCAGCCTACGGAAGGGGAGGAGACATTTGCAGATGACATATCCGATAAAGTGTTGGTGTCTAAAACCTTTAAAGAACTTATGAAACTCACCACCCAGAAAACAAATAATCCAGTTAAAAATGGGCAGAAGACATGAATAGAGACTTTTCTAAACAAGACATCCAGATGGCTAACACACATGTGAAAAGATGCTCACCATCACTTATCATCGGGGAAATACAAATCAAAACCACAAGGAGATACCACCTCACACCTGTCAGAATGGCTAACATTAACAACGCAAGAAACAACAGGTGTTGGCGAGGATGCGGAGAAAGGGGTACCCTCTTGCCCTGTTGGTGGGAATGCAAACTGGTACACCCACTCTGGAAAACAGTAGGGAGGTTCCTCAAAAACTAAAAATAGAACTACCCTTTGATTCAGCAATTGTGCTACTAGGTATTTATCCAAAGGATACAAAAATACAGATTTGAAGGAGCACATGCACCCTGATGTTTATAGCAGCATTGTGTACAATAACCAAAAAGTATGGAAAGAGCCCAAACGTCCATCAACTGATGAATGGATACAGAAGAGGTGGTGTCTACATACAATGGAATATTATTCAGCCATCCAAAGAATAGAATCTTGTCATTTGCATCAGTGTGGATGGAGCTAGAGTATATTATGCTAAGTGAAATAAATCAGTCAGAGAAAGACAAATATCATGTGATTTCACTCATATATGGAGTTTGAGAAACAAAACAGATGAATATATGAAAGGGGGGAAAAAAAGGGAAACAAACCATGAGAGATTCTTAAATATAGAGAACAAACTCCAGGTTGATGGGGGGAAGTGGGTAGGGGATGGGCCAAATGGGTGATGGGTATTAAGGAGGGCACTTGTGATGAGCACTGGGTGTTATATGTAAGTGATGAACCCCTGAATTCTGCCCCTGAAACGAATACTACATGGTATGTTAACCAACTAGAATTTAAATAAAATGTTGAAAAGAAAAAACTAGAAACAAATGAGGGTAAAGCAACTGGACATCCACAAGGAAGAAAAAAAAGAAGATTGTGTAGGCTTTGTACCCTTTACAAAAAATAAACTCAAAAATGGATCATAGCAGTAAATCTAAGACTATAGAAACTTTAGAAATCTAAAACTACAGAAACTCCTAGAAGGTGGGGCACCTGGGTGGCTCAGTAGGTTGGGCGTCCAACTTCAGCTCAGGTCATGATCTACAAGCTTTGAGTTCGAGCCCAGTGTTTAGGCTCTGTGCTGACAGCTCAGAGCCTGGAGCCTGTTTCAAATTCTGTGTCTCCCTCTCTCTCTCTCTCTCTCTCTCTCAAAAATAAACAAACATTAAAAAAAAAACGAAAAAAAAAAAAAAACTCCTAGAAGGTAACATAGGAGAAAACCTCTATAGCTTTGGGTGTGGCAATGATGTAACACCAAAGGCACAATCCATTATAGAAAAATATATAATAATTGATAAGCTGAACTTCATTAAAATTAAAACTTCAGCTGTGCAAAAGACAACATCAAAAAAATTAGAATATAGGCCACAGAGTGATAGAAAATACTTGCAAAAGGTAGGTCTAATAAGGGACAGCCTATACCATGATTTGTCTGCCTGTTACCCAGTATACAAGTGGGCAGGAACCCTTCTGGGTCCCTTGGCATGCGGTGCTAGATTCCACTGTTTGCACGGTGCCATTTTGGTTTCTGAATGGATGCTGAATTTTAATTGTTAATACAGGGAACGGAGGGATGCCTGGGTGGCTCGGTCAGTTGAGCGTCCAACTCTTAATTTCAGCTCAGGTCATGATCCCAGGGTTGTGGCATCGAGATGCACGTCAGACTCTGCACCAAGTGTGAAGCCTGCTTGGGATTCTCTCTCTGTCTCTGTCTCTCTCTCTCTCTCTCTCTCTCTCTGCCCCTTTCCCCTGCTCATGCATGCATGCGCTCTCTCTCTCTCTCTCAAGTTAAAAAGGGACATGTGATACTGAAATCACTGGAAAACAGCCACTGAAGGAGTGAATTCTGTGGTTATTTTGTATCACCAACAGTCATAAAATTATATTTTCATGTAATTACCTTATTGTAAAGTAAATCACAAAATATGTAGGATATAACCTCAGTTTGTCGAACTCAGAGTCTTGGATTCTGCCTTCTAAAGTATTATTATTGCCACCTTTCATCATCAGTCATTTCCTTGTTTGGGAAATAAATAAATGGTTACCTTACATATAAGAAAAGGAAGAAGTAACGTGTGCTTAATGCAAAAATTCAACCAAATACCATAGATATTATAAATATCGGGATAAACACGGTAAGCCTCATGGTCTTGCTAATTTTCACTTCCAGGCACTGACAGTTGCTAGCAATCACCATAAGATTGTGAAAATGGACCTCAGAAGCCGGTATCTGGACTCTCTGAAGGCTATTGTTTTCAAACAGTATAATCAGGTGAGCCCATCAGTGACTCTGTGAAGTTGTGTGTGTCTCCATTTTCTCTTTCACACTTGAGTTAGAAGCATCTGGGCAGGTGGGAAAGTCCACCTCCAACAGAAGGAGATCACTTCCATTATTACTGAAGCGGAGAAAGCTCTCAGTCAACATGAAAGGAAACAACGGTCCCCCACTATCATCTTGTTATAATTGCATTGTGTTTTATACTGCTCATCAGTCATTAGAGCTTACGTGAGAGAGCCCAGCTTCCAAATGAGCTCTTCCAGTTAGAAGTTATTTTATCTTTACAGTAACTTGACACTGTCTTTTGAAGCTACATTCTATTACTCCATTATGCAAGACAGAAGCAGAATTAATTTTTGTCCCATCAGCCAAGCAGGTAATAGAGGGGTTACAAGGAAAGGAGAAAGCGTCGGTTTATTAAGCCCCCCAATTTATTTATTTCTTAAGATTATTTGAATGCATTGTTTCCTCTAATGATAAAAGTAGATCTGGCCTTTTGCACAGACTCAGGGTTCTTTTTCGCTCTGCATGGCAACTGCGGGCCCATATGTTTAGACCCCTGTAAGTGGATTGTTAATGCTCTCTGTATATCTCTGAGCCCTTAGATATGTCACACTTACGTATTTTCATCTGTTCTAAATAGAAAAAAGTGATGGCTCTCTGCAAGCCACTCTTTAAAGAAAAAAAAAATCTAACATTAAGTTAATGATTTTCTCCCATAGCAAACTCCCCCCCCCTTACCCACCACCCTTCCACCTGTTCTATGACAGTTGCATTCATTCCTAGGAAAATTCACATCGTCAAACACAAAAACAGTTGCTGCAGCGTGAGTAGGGAATGAGAGATTGGCTTCCAGGAGGAAAGTGGTTTTTCTAAAAGGAATGTCAGCAGGTGTTTTGTGGTGATGAAGGCGTAGCTATCAAGCAGAAACATCACATTGCAAATACATTTAGTACCTGTGTCCTAAAGCCATTTATTATTTATATTTCAAGATGTTAAAATTAGGAAAAGATTCAGTTTTCTTTCTTTCTTTCTTTCTTTTTTTTTAGAAGTTTGAAACTCACAACTCCACTATGCCTCTACAAGAAACCCTTGAGCTGGACATGCACAGTATGTGTGTTTTAAGATAAAACTGAAATTTGGAAGCGCATCATTCCTTTTTAGAGTTCTATCACTCGGTAAAACATTTAATCACTAGGAGCCTGATTCAAAACTATTTACTGCTTTCCGAAAAATTGCAAATTAACTTTCTGCTGAAAGGGGGATCCAAGCTCCCGTAGGTTCTTTCTAGCACTTACTAGAATGGCAAGTAGTAACACTAAAAACAAAAATTAACTAATAGTCAAGCATTTCTTTAGTGCCAGGAACCACACAAACATGTTTACAGGTATCATTTCCTTCATCTTCATAGCAGTGCCGGAACAATCTCTTCATCGGGCAGCTGGGATTCAGATGGGTTTAGCCACTTGCCAGGCAAAGTTAACACAGCTAGGAATTGCCGAAGCCAGAGACGAAATCCAAGTCTGTCTGAGTCTGGAGCCCCAGCTCGGAATGCGCTGGATAAACTGCTTCTGCAATACTCAGTTGTGACTGTGTCGCTCCTCACAGGTGGCGCGAGTCTGTCCGTGGAAAACCCAGGACAGCAGAGTAAACAACTACTGAAGAGTGGAGGGGTACAGCCTACATTTATAGAAATGAACATTTTCCTGTCTCTCAGCAATGATTTGGCGATAAAATGAGATAGTACAGCAATTATGATTTAAATACGTTTATGACTTTCCGATGGCATAGGAACCGCTGTTGATGTCATGTTAAGTAAAGAAAGCAGGATACAAAACTCTGTGTATTTTATAATCCCAGTTAAAAAATACATATCTTTTTATTTGCTAAAAAGGGGGCTAAGGGTGCCTGGGTGGCTTAGTCGGTTAAGCATCTGACTTCGTGATCTCGGTTCGTGTCTTCAAGCCCCACTTTGGGTGAGCCTCGCTTCTCTCCCTCTCTCTCTGTCTCTCTCTCTCTGCCCCTTGTGGGATTCTCTCGCTCCCTGTCTCCACCCCTCACTCATTTGCGCCCTCTCTCAAAATAAATAAATAAATAAATAAATAATTTTAAGAAGTGAGGGGCGAGCTAGACAAAATATATTAAAACATTAACAATGCTTTTCCTTCGTTGGTAGAATTATTGGGGATTTTTATTTTATTTACCAGCGTGCGCTTTCCAATTTTCCTATAGTAAGGAATTACTGCAATCAAGAAACGGTAAACTTTTTTTTTTTTTTAAGTTTATTTATTTTGAGAGAGAGAGAGCATGCACACACCAGCAGGGTAGGGGCAGAGAGAGAGGGAGACCCAGAAGCCGAAGCAGGCTCCAGGCTCCAAGCTGTCAGCACAGAGCCCAACGCGGGGCTCCACCCACAGACTGTGAGATCATGACCTGAGCCGAAGTCGGACGCTTAACGGACTGAGCCACCCAGGCACCCCAGTAAATGTTATCTTTAAATGACATGAGCCAGTTGAAAAGTTAGGAAGGAAAGGAGGATACTTTATGGATGAAAGATATTTCTAATGTCTGTTTTCTTTTGTAATCTTCCATGTATAGTGGATTCAAGGATCATTCATGAAAACAGAATCGAGAAAGAGAGAGTCCAGAGAGTGACTCAAGAAACTTTTGGAGACTATCCTCAACCAAGACTAGAATTTGCACAATATAAGGTGGGACATTGCTGTAAACATGAACTATGAGTTATCCATATGTTTGTAAAAGAAAAAAAATTAGATGGAAAACGATAATAAGAAACTTTCTTTTCCTTTATCACTGTTTCCTTTTTTTAACTTCTCTTTTTTCTTACTGAAGTGGTGTCGACCCACAAGGTTAGGCCAGTGTCAGATGTATGGTCATGGTGCCTGATTCTGTGCATCACTCATTGCTCACCATGATAAGTAGCGTCACTATCACTTTGTATTCTGTGTGATAAATTGAAGAGTTAAAATAGACGTCTTTATCGTATGTATTAAGTTCCCATGTTAGCGAAGGAGACTTCTAGAAATTCTGAATTTGCCTTTTGATTTCATCTTAGGTACTCATTTAGTTTTGTGTAACCAGCTGTGATCTGTATTTTTGAGGGGAAAAAAGTTGTGAGCTATCCCCTTTCTAGCCCGTCCACACTTGCCTGTAGTCGGTGCTCATAAATATTCATTGAATAAAAGAGTGAATAAAGAAGTCGTGACATACCTAGACCAGTTGGCATCACCGGAGAGAAACCAGTAAGTAGCCTAGTCAATACTATAAACCTAGCTCATTCCAGAACCGTGCCACTGCCCACCAGGAAGGCCAGGCTGGGGGCAAGCCCATTGCCACCATTAGAAAAATTCAAGGTTTATATCACGATTGCCCCAATCTAATACTGGCAGTCCTACTCATAACAGCCTCCTCTCCTCTAGTAAAATTCTTTCTGCTCTGCACCCCCTACAGTTATAGGCAGTGCTTTAAATCCGCCATTGATCTGCTCACCCAGGCCCAACACCTGTTTCCGTTGATTTGTTTTCAGTGGGAAAAGCTGATATCTTTCAAGTTGGGCTCCCTACATGACAGTTTTAACCCAGTTCCTTTGAACAACTCATAGTCTAGGACACTGGTTCATAGTGTGGTCTCTGGAGCCACCGTATCAGCATCCCTTGAGAACGGGTAAGAAATGCAGATTATTGGGCCCACTGCACCGTGGTCCTACTGGATCAGGGACTCTGGAGGTGGGACCCAGCCATCTGTTCTTACAAGCTCTCTGGCTGATTCTGCCTACTAAAGAGAACCACTGAGAATAAGTAAGAATCTGCAAATCCCCCCGTGGCTACAATTTAGAATCGCTCTGTTCTGTAAGTCAGAGTGCACGTTGATTCATGCCTGCTATTAATTTTCCCTACCTTTTCTATTTTGAAAAACGTCAAACCTTCAGAACACTTGCAAGGACATTGCGATGAACATCTGTTTTCCCTTTGCTTCGGTTCACCCATTGTTAACATTTTGCACATTTCCTTTCCTTCTTTTTCTGGATTTCTTCTGAACCATTTGAGTTAGTTGCAGACAATACTCACCCTCTAAACATTTCAAAATACTGCCTGTAAATTTTAAGAGGCACTTTAAGGAAAAGAATTTTGAAATTAGAATCTAAGATTCCAGTACCTATTGAAGCAGCCAGTGGATATTTGATATTAAAGGATTGTTAGATTGTTACTATTTTTTCTAGGTCTGATACTGTTACGGAGGTGAAGGTTTTAAAAGGAGTCCTTCTGGAGCGCCTCCTCGGTGGCTCAGTTGGTTGAGCCTCCACCTCTTGATTTCGGCTCAGGTCATGATCCCAGGGTTGTGGGATCGAGCCCCATGTTGGGCTCTGCGCTGAGTGTGGAACCTGCTTAAGATTCTCTCCCTCTCCCTCTGCCCCTCTCCACTACTTAATACTTTCTCTCTAAAAAATAAAAAAATATTAAAAAAAAAAAAAAAAAAAGACCAGCGCCTGGGTGGTTTAGTCAGTTAAGCATCTGACTTCATCTGAGGTCATGATCTCACTGTTTGTGGGTTCGAGCCCCATGTCAGGCTCTGTGATGACGGCTCAGAGCCTGGAGCCTGCTTTGGATTCTGTGTCTCCCTCTCTCTCTGCCCCTCCCCTGTTCGCACTCTCTCTCTCTCTCAAAAATAAATAAACATTAAAAAAACAATTAAAAAAGAGTCCTTCTTAGGTCTTTTCTAGGTACTGAATGTTTACAGATGGAATACCATCGTGTCTGGGGTTTACTGCAGAATAGTCCCGTGGCAGTGGTCAGTATGGAACAGGAGGTGGGCTGGTAGAAGACTAGCCATGAACTGATAATGGTTTCAGCCGGGTGACGTGCACATGGGGACTCATTGCCTGTGCTCCTTACTTTTGTGTATTTTTGAAATCTTCCATAATCAGGTAAAAACCAACCATGGTAGTGACTCGAAAGACATGACATTTTTACGTCGAAATGACAGATTTCAAAAGATAGTGCTAATTTGCCAGTAAGAATGCAAACTAAATACTCAGGTGAAGATCACCTGGGGGTAGAATTGACCTCCAAGGTCTCTTGTGTGCGGGCACTGTGCATACATGGCATTTTGTGGATTATGCCTTTTGACACACGGGTTGCCCTCTACGTTTGCAGTTAGCAAATTAAATGGCTCCCGCCCCTGTCAATCCCTGTATTTCTTGAGGACAAGAATTAATGAAACACATCACCTGATTTAATTACAGTTTGCCATTACAGCTGATATATTTAGTAGTTATTTATAAATAAATTTGTTGACAGCTTGAAACGAAATTCAAAAGTGACTTCCATGGAGGCATCTTGGCTGAGAGAAAAGAGCCCCTCCGGTGCCTAATAAAGTTCTCTAGCCCGCATCTTCTGGAAGCATTGAAATCCTTAGCACCAGCTGGTAAGTAGCTTATCTTACAGGCGGGAAGAATTCACAACACACTATATCTGATCCTCTCTCTCTGCTGGCTAATTACCTCTGAGCTTCCTCCTGGCTCCCATCTGCTATCCCCGCGTGCCCTATTTTGCGTATATTCTCCTTCTGTACGTCACGGGGGTCCATGATCCACCCACCCTCTAATCTTGGCCATTTTTAAACTGACTTTTTTTGTTTTGTTTTTTTAATTTCAGGTATTGCAGACGCACCGCTTTCTCCGTTGCTCACTTGCATACCCAATAAGGGAATGAATTATTTTAAAATTAGAGACAAATAGGATGTCTGTGGTTTTGTAAGCACACTTTTTCCTTGAATATATTGCATATGCATTTCAGTTAACAGCTAGCTGGACAGCTTCTGTGTATGAACTTGTGTTTTAGAAATTCATTCTTAATATTGACAGTCCAGAAATGTTCAATATGCTTGTTGGGACTGATTCTTTCCTCCTCCAGTGTGCACCCTGCTCCCCCATATCCTGCAAAGCATAGCAATTGTGGGCCTTTAAAAAGTGACTAGGTGTCCTTTTTCTCACTCCTGTCTCTCTTCGATCCTGGAGAGACTGAGTTCTAATTGCTGTTTCCAATGATTTTGTCTGAAGCCTTGGATCATGGAAAGAAATAGCAAGAAACTATCCTCAACTCAAAACTTTCTAGGAAAATCATAAAATTGGTCCCTTCAAAGGGTAGAGTTGGGTCTATTAGGTTATTGCAGGGAGTACAATATCAGATGATTCAGTAATATAATAGTTCCTGTGTAAGTATGATACCTTTCATAGTCTGTTTTATCCTACATATGGCATTCAGACTCACCATACTATACTGATTTGTGAATAAAGATTTAAAAACTGGTACATCACTTCTGATGGAAATTCTTCGGTGATCCTCACAATATAGCATGTCCTTTCTTTTTTTTTTTTTTTTTTTTAATTTTTTTTTCAACGTTTATTTATTTTTGGGACAGAGAGAGACAGAGCATGAACAGGGGAGGGGCAGAGAGAGAGGGAGACACAGAATCGGAAACAGGCTCCAGGCTCCGAGCCATCAGCCCAGAGCCTGACGCGGGGCTCGAACTCACGGACCGCGAGATCGTGACCTGGCTGAAGTCGGACGCTTAACCGACTGCGCCACCCAGGCGCCCCTAGCATGTCCTTTCTTAATAACATTTCAAACTCTACTCCCTGTTCTGTTCCACAAAGGATTTGGGGTATAAAGACGTTTATTACAGTTACGATAAAATTAAAAGGTGAGGCAGTCTGGGCAAATGGGAAAGCAAACAAAAAGCAAGGACCGAATAAAGGTAGAGCTAAAACTGACATGTAACAAGATACGAGTGCCTCCATCTGTTACAAGGTTGAAAAATTGGAGCAATGTTAGCCAGTGGTCCGAGCAGAGAAGAAAACACCATTTGTGAATGAAGATATTCAAAAACTGGTACATCAGGGGCGCCTGGGTGGCTCAGTGGGTTAGGCATCCAACTCTTGGTTTCAGCTCAGGTCATAATCTCACGGTTCGTGAGATCGAGCCCTGCATCAGGCTCTGCACCGACAGTAAAGAGCCCGTTTGGGATTCTTCCCCTGGCTCTCTGCCCCTCCCCCGCTTGCTCTCTTTCTCTCTCTCTCTTAAAATAAACACTTAAAAAAATAAAAACTGGTACATCAGTTACTTTTGATGAAAATCAAAAACAGGCTCAGTATACAAAAATGTAAATACAATCAGAGAAGGGCTAAACAGTGCTTTATAATTTAGTGGTATTGTCTATAGATTATAGGTACGTGAAAAAATGTTTTTAGATTTAATTCACAAGTGGCATAGACACTTCAGTAATCTCAGAGTGAGGCACTGAGTCTGTTGGGGCTCAATAATACTAATTTCCACGTAGACTGTAGTCATGGTGTAGAGCATCTGTCCCTATGTGCACACATGTGGGAGGAGCTTCTGCTCCGTGCCTGAATGCCTCTGTTGGGTCTGCACAGAGGCCCTGCAGTCTCCCCAGGATGGTTTCTCACAGGCTCACAGCCCTCCCTGGTGCTTGGCAGTGATGTGCAAATGGAGGCTGAATGAGAAAGACACTAATCATATTCACCCTACAGTGGAATCACTTGAGGCTCATCCTGTAGCCCTCCCAGACACAGGCACCTGCTTAAGGAAATGAGAATACATGGAACTTTATCTGTTGTGTACTTGGTGTTCAGTCTGCCCTCTGTTCTTCTTCAGGAGGAATTATTCTTTAGGTATAATTTGGTGAATTCCATGGAGGAGGTGAGTTCAATTTCTTATGTCACTGTCTTGGACTGGAACTTCTGTTATGTACTTGACGATCCAGAGACACATACTGCATTCAAATGCAGTCTTAGGAACAGATGGAGCGGTAAATGCAGACCCAAGGACCGCTACAGCCAAAGGAATTTATTTTGCTTTAGGTAGAGTCTGCAAAACTCAATAGCTAACGTTTATGGAATATTTACTAGGTCGCTGCTAAGTATTTTATATGCATTATCTTATTTTCATAACAATCCTATATGGCAGGCAGAATTACCAATCTAATTCTACTGAAGTGAATACCAGCTCTTAGGCTAGTAAGTGGCTGTACCCACAATAACCCGAGGCAATTGGACTCTGAGACCCCATGCCGAAAGAAACAATAGCCTGTGGATGCTATCCCACACACATAGATGCGGGGGTTTTTTTTGGTCCCACAGTACTTTTAAAATCAGAATTAGCTTCTATGATGGGCAAAATAATGCCCTCCCCTCAAAGATGTCCACATCCTAATTCCTGGAATCTGTAAATATGTATCACCTTACAAGGCAAAGGGACTTTACAAAGGGGAGATTAGTCTGGATTTCCTAAATGGACCCACTGTGATCACAAAGGTCCTCAAAAGTGGAAGAGGAACAGGAGAGAGCAGAGGGAGAAGTTCGTGATGTGATAAAGGCTCAACTCACCATTACTGACTCTGAGAAGCTGGACAAGGCAAGTAAACGCATTCTTCCGTAGAGTCTCCAGAAGAAATGCAGCCCTGCCCACACCTCGAGCTTAGCCTCATACTCCTGTCAGACTTCTGACATACAGAACTATAAAATAACAAATCCATGCCGTTTTAAGCCACTAAAATTGTGGCAATTTGTACCTGTAGCAATAGAAAGCTAGCACAGCTGCTGGTATATAGATTGGAAGTTTTCACGTAAAAACATTGAAAAATACATCTAGTGATACCACACATGAGTGGCAGCTGCCCCCTTTAAACAAAGGATGTTTTTTTCCATGTGTCTGCAGTCCTCATTTCTCTCTTCTACTTAGACCTGGTCTCATGTGTGTTCATTTATGTGGTCCAGCTAGCCCTTCTAGGTACTTAGGTTTTGGAACCCTGCCCTGAACTATACTGTTTCCCAAATAGTAATCAAATTTCAGCGCTTAAGATACAGGCATATAAATCCACCCTCTCTTAAAATGATTAACTCAGTTATTAGCAATTAATTTGTATAATGTGACCTATGGCTAGTTACTTCTCTGAAAATTGGGGGAAAGCTTATAGTACATACCCGCTACACCTATTGCGAGGACAAAATGAGATACAAAATGTCTAGCGCATGGTAAGTCCTCAACAGACAATAGATGTAATTAACATACTATTGGCTAATATTTGGGTTGTTTCTAATCTTTGGGAAATAAAGTTCCTGAACATACTACACTGATTTGTCTTCCATACAATTATTGCCCAAGGTTAAGTTTCTGGGAAGGTGAAGAACCAGTCAGTGGGACCAACCCCTTCGATGCGTTCGCAAGGGACCCGGGTGAAATTTTGTAACCCTCCCGCCTCAGCCGACGCGCCCTCCACGGCCCGCAGGGGGCGCCGCGGCCGTCCCGGCCCCGCCGGATGCTAATGAGGCTGGCGGCCCCGCCCCCTGCCGGAAGTGGCTGCGGCGGGAGGCGGGGCCTGCTGGCGAGGCCCTTCTGCCGTGCGGCAGCCATGGCGGCCTCTGAGGCGGCGGCGGCGGCGGGGTCCGCGGCTCTGGCCTCGGGCGCCCCGACCGTCCCGACGGCCGCG